GGTTGGGTCTTTCTCTGCTTTGGGGATCAAAGGATGCTTGCTTCCAGAAATGAATTTGGGAGTATTGCTTCCCTTTGAATTTCATTGAAGAATTTAAACAGTAGTGGCAGTAGTTCCTCTCTAAATGTCTTGTAGAATTCAGCAGTGAAGCCATCAGAACATGGGCTTTTCTGGGGTTTTTTGTTTTTGTTTTTGTTTTTTTGGTACCAGGGATTGAACTCGGGCCCTTGCGCTTGTGCAGCAGGCGGCAAAACCACTGTGCTAAATCTCTGGCCCTGGGCTTTTCTTAGTTGGTCAGTTTTTAATTATGTTTTCAATTTCATTGGTTGATATTGAGTTGTTTAGAATTTTTAGGCCTTCTTTGTTCAACTTTGATAATTCATACATATCTAAGAATCTGTCCATTTCTTCTGTGTTTTCCATCTTATTGGCGTGTAGGATCTCAAAGTAGGTATTGATGATGCTCTGCATTTCTGCTGGGTCCGTTGTAATTTTTTTTTCACCATTTTCATTGCTAATTGCATGGATTTGGGCCTTTTCTTTCCTTTTTCTGATAAGGTTGGCTAAGGATTTGTCAATTTTGTTTATTCTTTCTTTTTTTTTCTTGGTACTGGGAATCAAACTCCAGTCCTTGCACTCTCGAGACAGGTGGTTTAACCACTGAGTTAAATCCCTGGCCCTGTTTTGTTTATTCTTTCAAAGAACCAACTCTTGGCTTCATTAATTTTTTGTATCGTTCTCTTAGTCTCCATTGCATTGATTTCTCCTCTGATCTTTATAATTTCCTCCCTTGTATGAGCTTTGGGTTTGTCCTGCTCTTCTTTCTCTAGAAGCTTGAGGTTCAGCATCAGGTTGTTTAATTGGGCTCATTGTGTTTTCCTAATATGCGTATTCACTGCTATGAATTTCCCTTGTAAGACTGCTTTCATTGTGTCCCATAGATTTTGATATGTTGTATTGTCATTGTTATTTAATTGTAGGAACTGTCTGATTTCTTCTTTAGTTTCCTCTGTGACCCACTGGTTATTCAGAAGTGTGTTGTTCAGTTTCCATGTGTTTATGTAATTTTCGTGGTTTCTTTTGCTATTGATCTCCAATTTCATTGCACTATGGTCTGGTAATATACAGGGGATAACTTCAATTCCTTTGCACTTACTTAAACACATTCTACGAGTGAGTATGTGGTCTATTTTGGAGAATGACCCATGTGCGGCTGAAAAGAATGTGTATTCTGATTTTGTGGGGTGGAA